CGTGAGCACTGCACCTGGCCACGTCTTTAACAGCAGACTGCACAGTTCTGAGTTTTTTCACAGTCACAGTTGCTTATGAACCTGCATGTTCCCTTTCTCAAAATGCTCTCAGAAAAGGTGACCAGAGTCCTTGGGGGAATACTTCTAAGGTTTACTCTAATAACATGTACCATTTGTTGAGTACTTGCTGTGTACCAGACACTGGTACACAGTGTATCACATACTGTACTGTATACATACTATCCAGTATACTATGCAGAACATACTTTTCCCATTTAATCTTTCCATCATTTAAATGTAGATTATTATTAATCTCAGTTTGCAGATTAGGAAACTAAGGCTTAAAAAAGACAAACATTTGCCCAGGTTTATAGTGCTAGTAACAATCTTAGGGTCTGTCCTTCCAAAATCTGTGCCTTTAACTATGAAGCAGGAGCAGCACAGTCAGCCATAAAGAGCACTGGCTTTGCAGCCAGAAGCCTTCCCACAAATCAGCTGCATGATGGGAGGTGACTATTTAACCTCACCAAGCCTCTGTCACTTCATCTTTGATGTGGGAATAATTCATTTCTACCCTGCCTTTCTCCAGGGACTGAAAACTGTATCAGCACGTGTTGCTGAGTTCCAGTAAGTTCATTTCTCTTGGACAAACTTTGTTGTCCATCTGTTCAAGGTCAGGAATGAGAGCTGGGATGAGAGAAGAACTGCAGACGAGGGAAGACTCAAACTAAATGACTAAGTTATTCATTTTTCTTGTCACACATTTTATATGCTTTTGTGTAACTGGAAAAACACAATTCTAATGTTTGACAATGAATTTTACTAACATTAAAAACTATCTAGACATGAGAGCCAGGTGCGGTGACTCACGCCTATAATCTCAGCACTTTGGGAGGCCAAGGCAGGAGGATCACGAGCTCAGGAGTTTGAGACCAGCCTGAGCAACACAGTGACACCACTACGTCTCTACAAAAAATACAAAACTTGGAGAGACAAGATAGTGTACGCCTGCCAGTTACTAAGGAGGCTGAGAAGGGAGGATCGCTTGAGTCTGGGAGGTTGAGGCTACAATGAGCCATGATTATACCACTGTACTACAGCCTGGACAACAGAATGAGATTCTGTCTCTAATAAAAAGCTATCTAGACATGATGGCCAGAAGCAGTGGATCACACCTATAATCCCAGCACTGTGGGAAGCCAAGGCAGGAGGATCACCTAGGTCCAAGAGTTCAAGACCAGCCTGAGCAACATGGTGAGACCCCTACGTTTCTATTAAAAAAAATACAAAGCTTGGCCAGGCATAGTGGTGCACGCCTGTAGTTCCAGTTACCAGGGAGGCTGAGATGGTAACATCACTTGAGCCCAGGAGGTCGAGGATACAGCAAGCCATGATTGTGCCCCTGCACTCCAGTCTGGGCAACAGAGTGAGACTCTGTTTCCAATAAAAAGCTATCTAGACATGATGGCCAGGGGTGGTGGCTCATACCTATAATCCCAGCACTTTGGGAGGCCAAGGCGGGAGGATCACTTGAAACCAGAAGTTCAAGATCAGCCTGGGAACATAAGCAGACTCCATCTCTATAAAAAATAATAAATAAATTTTTTTTAAAAGCTATCTAGACATGAAATTAAACAATCAAAATAGGGGACCACATGGTATGTGTTCAGTAAGTAACCAGAGGAAGGCAGGAGAAAGGCAGGCCAGGGGCAGACAGTACTGGCATTTCCTCTGGATCTTGCTCAGGGATTGGCCTGTTGGTATTTTGTTCCACTGTATGGGGTTAACTGGTTCTTTGATCTCTAGCAAATTAATTTGGTCAATTTGGTTATTTAATTTATGAATAAAGAACTTGAAAGCAATGCAGTAACAAATATTCTCAGCTAAACCATAATATTCTATAGCTTGAACAGTCTCTGATTTTTCTGAACAGAGGCATCAGGATGGGCCTCTTGTTTTCTTGAAATGTCAAACTGCCTCGTTGAAGCAACACCCATGGAGACCAAACACACACACACACACATATACACGCACACACACCCACAGAGCTGACATAAAAGAGATGCTACTGCAAATAGTAGCTAATAAAATCCCAGTGCACACGTTTATCCCTGCGGTGATCAGTCAACACAACACTGACGCAGAGAAAGATCCCTAACAATCTGCCAGCTGAGGACTTTTGGGAACTCTTGGAAAAACACATGCTGAGATCAAGAAATGAAAATGAATTTATGATGGTTTGGTTAGAAGCTATGTTTGAATGTAGAAATAAAAGATGTTAAGTAATAACTGGGGGAATCCCTAACCATACAGTGGGGATTTAGGTATATACAGAACGTGAAATATTCATCATACTCCACGAAGCACACTTGTGGCTGAAGCTCTGCAACAGAATCACAAAATTAACCCATTTTCTCCACAGTTAAAATCACTAAAAAGAGCAAAAGTGCCAATTTGGATCTGTTCGAGATTTTTTTTTAACATTAGGAACACAGTTAATACTCTGCAACTAGAGGACCACCTGTAACAAATCCACCATTAGAGAGATGGCATTTCTGTTAAACCACATGGCATCATTGTTCCAGTGCCAGTGTTGATCCTAACAGATAACGTAAACTCATGGGGAACCTCTGTGCCCCTTCTTCCAGTTTCCAGGGCCTGGAAGGATAAGATGCTGCTCTCAGTGAGGGCCCATGGGAGCAACAGCAGCCTGAGTAGAGTGTGTCTCCCTGCCACTCTCAATGCCTGTTCACATGCTTTCCCTCCGGTCCACAGGTCCCTCCACTGAATCTACCTATTAGTGTCAAACAGACACAAAACCTAAACATCAAGAAGGCATGCGGGAACTGCACACACCGTCAGAAATGGGGGAAAGGAGTTGTGTGAGAGAAGGACTGGGGAGGGGGGAATTCGCCTAAATCTGAGATCTTTCTCATTGCCTGTTCTCAGAGCACAGGGTTCAGACACAAAACGTTTCTCCTGAGAGTCAGAGGGCTTTGAGTGACAAGTATTACATTGTCAAGAGATCATTTATTTCCAGTTGAGACAGCATTTGGAAGGGCAAAAGCTAGGCATAAAATTAGAGCCTATTAATACTAATTAGAAACAAAAGTAAATGAATTTGAAAGGTTTTAATTAAGCCTACCCAACAGGAGGAGGTGGAGACTGAAGGAATATCATGCCCAATAATAACCAGGATATAAGAAGCCCAGAGAAGAACTCCCTATAAATATACTGCTTTTTTTAAATTCTGGGGGGAAAAAGTCACTCCACCTTTCACTGAGCATAGGATAGATACCTCGACTTACATAAGGAGTTGCATTCAATGCTGGACTCAAAAAGAGCAACTGAAATTGATTTGGAATGTGGTTTAACTGCTTTATCTAATCACTGTTAATAAATAAGAAGACCTTTCATTGGTTGGCAGGAGGACAGTTGCTACTGGCCAATTAGATTTTCCTGAAAACGGTGAAGACTTGCATGTACTTTTTTTTCCCCTCAGATATAATCCCTAAAGACCAAACTGTTTCTGGAATCAGAAGTTGTCACTCAGTGTCATACACTTCCTTAACAGACCTAAGGTCTCCTTTCACATGCTCCCAAATTGTTGTGAACACTTTTTATTGCAATCTTTTTGAAAGTGAAGAGTTTAGAAACCTCATGGCAAATCAGAAATTGTCATCAAGAGTGGACATCCTCTAGGAGACTAGAGGATGAAATGATCTATCCAGGGCACACTAGGTGGCCAACACTTTGAAACCTGAAATAACCAAGATTCCTCAATTATTCGTCGGAGTTGCATGGGAGCTTTAGTCAACTGAGCTTAAGAAGATGCCCTCTATCTTGTCAGCAAGGCAGGAAAAAGTCAGTTCCGTGTATCTCCAACTTAGAAATCTATCGCACCCCACCCCAGGCCACATCTGGGCTGATTATGCTGGGTTCCCAAACTCGGTAGAGAGAATGCTAGGGCTCAGGGACCCGCGGCCCCACCTGCTGGGTCCCACCCGCCGCCTGGAGCAGCAAGGCTGGGGTGGAGGGGGGCCTTCCAAGTGGCCCCCTTCCCTCACTGCTCCCAGGAGCCCGGCTCCAGAATGGCGTTCTCTGTGGGGCCCCCAAAACAATCAGACCTTTAAAAGAAAAAAGAGGGAGCGCGGTCTGGCATTATATAACAATTTACAGTAGATAAAGCTTCTAGAAAACGAAAGCAGCCTGGGGAGGGGCGGAGGACAGGGGAGGAGAGGGGAGCGCGACGTCGGGTGAGCGGTCGCCGACACTTACTCGAAGGCGAAGAAGAGTCCGCTAGTGACCAGGATGAGGACGAGCGTCAGGTAGAAGACGCCCGTCTGCCGGGCCATCATGATCCTCCCGTTGCAGAAGAACTTGTTTCTTCCCGGGAACACCTCCCATTTCCTCCGGGCCGCGATTTTCTTCTTCTTGTGGGGCGACTCCATGGGGGAGGAGCTGTGGGTGCTGATCTGGCTGTACTCGCAGTCTTTCATGGGCCCGCCGCCGCCGGGAGGCATCCACGAGGGCAGCCGGCTGGGGGCGCACACCCCCAGGAGCCCCCCGGCCGCGCGGGCCCCGCCGAGCCACGACCGCCGCCGGCCGCCCGGCCGCCCCCCGAGCCGCGGCGCCGCGGCCCCTACACGGGCTCCCGGCTCGGCGACAACTTTGCCGAGGACACCCAGGTTAACCCTCCGGGGAGCCCAACTGTCATAGCAGAAGCCCCGCTCGTGGGGGACGGCGCTGGCCGGCAGCCCGCGGCAGCGCTCCTCCGTCGCTTCCAGCCCGTGTCCCGGGGAGCGGGGCTTAGCCCGGCCGGCCCCCGGGTCGCCGAGCGCCCGCCCCCTCGCGCGGCCGCCCGCTCGGCCCCGCGGCCCCCAGCTCCCCGGCAGCGCCTCGGCTCCGGCCCGCCGACCCCAGAGCGCTAAACCCCAAGGGGACACGAGGCGGCGGCCCCGGCGCCGGCTTCCTCGGGAACCACTTCTGAGCCACGGCCAGGTTGGATCCACTCCTTCCTACGGCGGCGGATCCTCCCAGGAGAGAGCGCTGGCGACTGGGCGGCCGCGCGCGGCACCGGCAACCCCTCCCAGGGGTGGGGACAGCCACGCACGTTTTTCTGTCAGGAGCCGCTTGGCAAGAGCCCTGGCGCCGCTCGCACCGCGACCCGCTGTCGCTGTGCCTGGCAGCCGAGTCGAGTCCGCGGGCCCCGCGCGGGGATGCCCGGGCCGAGGGCGGCGACGGCTCGCGGGCTGCGCGGCGAGGGCTCCTTGGCTCCCTCCTGCCCAGAGGAAGCAGCCCCGGCGCGAGGAGGACCGCGGGGACACCGCACAGACACTTGTTTGCAAGGCTCAGCGCCGGCGCGCGCGCGGCGCTCCGAGTGGATCCGCCTCCTCCAGGCTGGGTGGGCGGCGGCCCCGCGCCTCACTCGCGGCTCCTCCTCCTGCTCCTCCTCCTCCTCTCCCGCGAAGCCCGGGCACCGGCGCCGCAGGGTCCCCGCCCCGGTCTCCACGGGCGGGCGCCCTGGGCTGTGGGCCGGACCGGGCCTGACGCGGCCCCTGGGGAAGGCGCAGGGGCTCCCGGTGGCATCGGCCGAGAAGGAATGGGGTCGGGCGCCGCGCCTTGCGCTTTTGACCGACTTCAGTCTGTCTTGCGGCTTCTCCCGGGTTTATCCCCCGCAGCAGCTGCCGCCTCGAAACACGCTCATTCCCACGGCCACTGGCAAGCAGGTCCTGGCGACTCCCCGGGACCTGAGGAGCCGCGGCGCAGAGGTGACCCTCCCCCGGCCTGCGCCCCCCTCCCTCCTCCCCGGCTGGGCGCGCGGTGGAGTCGCCGGGAGAGTCTGCTGATGCCCGGGGAATGGGGTGAGGGTGCCGGGTGCCAGGATGGGGAGAGGCGGCCCGAGGCCGGCCTGACTCCGGGACCCGGTTGCGGGCGAGGGTCTCGGGGCCCGGCTTGGCCGGCTTCCGGGCCGAGAGAGAAGGGCGGTGGAAGCGGTCGGGGTCCCCTCCGGCCCCAGCCTCCCTCCCGGAGTAGAGGCCTCTTGCGGTGTAGGTTCTGGGTTGCTGCCGCCCAGCCCTTTCGGTTTCCACTTCTCCCCACAGATGATCACAACTGCTCGCTTTATTTCTCCCTCCATTACCCCGTGGAGCCCTCTAAGCAGCGGAGGAATCGCGCGCTTCTCCTCTCCCGCCCGCGCCTCCCTCTTTCCCCGCCGGACAGTCCAGGAGGAGCTGCCGGCGCGGCCCTGGGACTGCCGGAGCCAGGGGTGACTGCTCGCTAGCGCCTCCCAGGCTTTGCCGCGGGTCCGAGCCTCCGCAGGGGTGGGCACAGCCCCGGGGCCGCGGAAAGCGAAGGCAGCTGGGCAGGGACGCTCGGTTTTCCGAGCCCTGCTTTTCTTTCACACCCCACTGGGAGGTGTAGTTCTTCTTCCCGCCGGCCGGCGCCTAGAGGAAGCACGACTCGGACCTTAGAAACTACAAGTCCCTGCATCCCCCGCGACAAGGGCGGGAGAGGCGTGGTGCCGGGCGTTCTGGGGCTCGGTAGTGAGAGATGGGAACCAACAGAGGGTTGTGGGGGACGGTGCCTTCTCTGGGCATTTTGCACGTTACACATGTTCTTTGTCTAATATTCATCAGAATCATGCGAGACATTATTGTCTCCAGCTTAGAGAAAGCTTAACTACTGGCCAAATATCACAGAGCTCCCAAGTGATAGAGATGGCATTGAACCCAGATCCCTAAGTATGTCCCTTACAAAGCGTGCCTCAGTGAGCAGTGTCGAAGGGAGATGAGATTGGCTTATCCGAGAAGGCCAGTTGGGAGGAGCTTCTTGTAGTAAGGAAAAGGTGGTGGGAATAGAAATTAGAGTATGACCTTAAATTACAAGGAGTTTTGAATAAAAATGAAATTTACAGGGGTCCATTCCAAAGCAGGTTAGGGTCTAGGGAGAATGAATCTTAAGCACACGGTCATAATTGGGTTTGAATTATTTTAGATAATGTATGAGAGCCAAGCATATTACAGGGACAATAAAGTACTTTGTGGCTGGATTATTTTTTAAAACCCAACTGGAAAGCTGCAGACATTTCAAGTGAAAGCTCTCATATGCTTTCCTGTCCTTTAGCTAATGAGATCTACGGGGTATTATTCTTATTGTATTTATTGCGAGCACCTTTTCTGTGGATGTCCAATTAATATAACAGATCCATTGATTTGATGGCATTAAAAAGATTCCCACTCTTGTTCTCAATTAAACCTAATTTTTCTGGCATCGTGGTTAGGCTTTTAAAAAGTCCTTCGTTATCTGTTAGAGATACGTACTAAAGTATCTGCCAGTGAAATAATACAAATTCTGAAGTGTGCTTTAAAACACACCAGCCCATTCACTCCCCTCTTCCCACCCTCCCAGCCCCAGACATGGGGGTGTAAATGAAACAATCGGAAACTGTTAAAAATAGTTGACCTTGGGTGATGTATACTTAATTATTTATTGCTGCAAACTACCACAAACTTAGTGGCCTTAAAACAAGACAGATTTTTCTCACAGTTTTTGTGGATCAAGTGTCCAGGTACACTCATACTCCACTTAGAGTCTCACATCTGCCATCAGGGGGCTGCCCAGGCTGCATTCGCACTCACTGGAGAAGAACTGGCTTCCACTGTCACTCCGGGCACAGGCAGAATTCCTTTCCTTGCAGCAGTAGGACCGAGGGCCCCGGCTTCTTGCTGGCTGGAGACTGGAGACTGTCCTCAGCTCCAAGAGGCAACCTGCAATTCCTGGAGGTCACCTGGACTTCATTGTCACTTGGGCTTTCCGAACACAGCCACTTTTTGCATCAGGCCCACAAGGAGAGTCCCCAGAGTGAGCCTCCAGCAAGACAGAATTTTTTTTTTTTTTTGAGACGGAGTTTCGCTCTTGTTACCCAGGCTGGAGTACAATGGCGTGATCTCGGCTCACCGCAACCTCCGCCTCCTGGATTGAGGCAATTCTCCTGCCTCAACCTCCTGAGTAGCTGGGATTACAGGCACGCGCCACCATGCCCAGCTAATTTTTTGTATGTTTAGTAGAGACAGGGTTTCACCATGTTGACCAGGATGGTCTCGATCTCTTGACGTCGTGATCCACCTGCCTCGGCCTCCCAAAGTGCTGGGATTACAGGCTTGAGCCACCGCGCCCGGCCCAAGACAGAATTTTATATGACATAAAGCAACCCCACGGGCACCTTCAAATGGGCACATTCTGTTGACCAGAAGCATGTTTTGCACACCCTCAAAGGGAGAGGAGTACACAGGGCATGAACACTAGGGTGAGGGGGTACCCTGGAGTGCATCCCCCGCAGTGTACAAGAGGGTCTATTATGCTCTTCTTACATACCTCATCTACTCGTGTTTACGTTTGACATTTTCCATAATAAAAAGAAATGAATTAATTTTAAACTGTTACCTAAATTTTCCACAGCAAATAAGATATGCTGATATGATTTCTAAATAAGCTGATACAGTCGTCTACAGTTGTCTTCCTGGGGTACTTACTTCTTCCCCCTCCGTGTATACTAAGACCTCTGGCAGTTAATTTACTTGTATGGGTTACTCTCAACTAAGGGCGTTCACTAGAACCTGGTGTGTGATAGCCCTAGAATTCACCTCACCAACTGCAGTTGATCTTGAACAATATGGGTTTGAACAGCATGGATGTCGTTAGACATGGATTTTTTTTTTTTTCAACCAAATGCAGATGGAAAATACAGTATCCCTGGGATGGGAAATGTGAGTATACAGAGGGCAAAGGCCGACTCTTCCTATATGCAGGTTCTGTGGCACCTGTTTAGGGACCTGAGTATGTGCAGACTCAGGTATACGCAGGTGATCCTGGAACCAATCTCCTGAGGATACTGAGTGATGACTATAAAACCTGTTGTATAAGGTATGGTAGAGTTCATTATTTATTTTACAGTTATCTATCTCAGAGCCTAGATTGTGCTAAGTACTGTTTTAGCAGCAGCGATATAAAAAGATCCAAGATAGAAGCTTATATTTGGGGACTGGGGAAGAGATGGAGAGAATAAACAAACAAATAAATGACTAATAAGACAAATTCAGAGAACAATTATAAGAATGAAAAAAAAAAGCAGGTTATGGGCTAGAGAGACGGGTCAGGCAGAGAGAGAATCGAATGATGAGAAACAGCGAGTACCAAGTCCTTAAGGCAGAACAATCTGGAAAATTCTAGGGATACAAAGAACACCAGTCTAGTTCAAGTGGAGCATGAGCCAAGGAGAGACGGAAGAAGAAACAGGACCAGGAGGCATCTGGAGTTGATTCTGCACGCACCAAAATCAGTTCTGTACGCTGTGCTCTGTACCCAACATTGGTTTAGGTGTTGAGGGGTCTGAAAGAAGAATCACCATCCTTGCCCTCTAGGAATGTATAGATTCCAAACTTTAATGTTAGAGGGATGTCAGCATATCTAGAATTACAGACCAAAATATTTATTTCGCATACAAGGACACTGAAGCCCAGAAAAGTCAAATGACCAGCTAAAAATTCCTTGAGAATGCCTCGCCAATAACACACCAATAACAAATAATCCAAAAATGAGTCTTGAATTGAAAGAGTGCATGATCTACTTTTGTTAAATCGAGTTTAAGCTAATGCTGCCTCCTTACATATTTTAAGTTTGGCCTAAAGGTTTCTCTGTACACTGTGAACCGTAGGCTAGATGGAAAGGTAAACAGAGTGTGATCTACTCGTATGTCAATTACTGAGTTTTGGCCACTCAAATGTGGCCAACTGTTCGAACCATGTTCAAATAAGACAAATGCTGAGCTGTAACCATCTGGCTGTTTCTGTACCTCATGTCTGCTTTCTATACGTCACTTTCCTTTTTCTGCCCATAAATTCTCTTCTACCACACGGCTGCCCTGAGGCTACCCTGGCTCAGGAGGCTGCCCAACTCATGAATCATTCTTTGCTCAGTTAAACTATTTTACATTAAATTCAGCTGAAGTTTTTTTTTTTTTTTTTAACATGTTAACACTTTAGAAAATGGATAATGAACGTTTAGTGCCCATCATGTGCAGGGCAGTGTGATAAGAAGGTAAATGAGGCAGAGGAACGACAGTCAAGATTGGGAAACAAGATGGAGGCACGTGAGAAATTCAATAATACAAGAAAACAGTATTATACAGATAATGCTCTTTTCTCCAGTGTATTTTTGTGTTAGGCAATCTCCTGGTTCTCATTAAATCCAGAAGGATAACCTGATGAGGCAGGGATTATTGTCTTGAATTTGCAGAAGAGGAAACTGAAGATGAGAGAAGTGAGGTGATTTGCCCAGGGTTTTGCAGTAAGAAATGGAGTCAGGACTCTAGGCCGGGTGTGAATGTCAGACCCAAGCTTTCCTACCCCCACACAATGGAAAAAGCACACCGTCGGATAAACCAACAGCTGAGTAGAATAGAGAAAATCATCTCGATTTCAGAGGGAAGAGAAATCTCAGGCCCAGGCTGTAGCAAAGTACAACTCTGAGCTTGACAGTTTGGACAGGAAAAACGTAAAAGGGTTAGTCTCTCAGGGAAATGGGGATGGGTATAGAAAAGTAAATTATTGGGGAAGTACATGATGTTTCTAGCTGGAGTAGAACTGTCAAGAATCCAAGCACAGTTAGTTTATTCGGGAGGGGACTGCAGAAAACACCAGCAGGAGAGTGAGGAAGTGAGACAGGAAGGAAAAAGAGATGAATAAAGCATGTGCTATCGAGCAAGTTACCATGGTGGGCCGCTGAAACTCAGACCCTCTAGGGCAGTGGACCCCGACCTTTTCAGCACCAAGGACCAATTTTGTGGAAGACAATTTTTCCACCAACCGGAGGGTGAAGGGATGGGGCCATGGTTTGGGAATGAATCAAGTGCATTACATTGATTGTGTATTTTATTATTATTACATTGTAATATGTAAAGAAACAACTATACAACTCACCATAATGTAGAATCAGTGAGAGCCCTGAGCTTGTTTTCCTGCAATTAGACGGCCCCATGTGGGGGTGATGGGAGGCAGTGACAGATCATTAGGCATCAGATTCTCATAAGGAGCGAGCAATCTAGATCCCTCACATGCTCGTTTCACAAGAGGGTCTGCACTCCTCTAGTGCAGTGAGAATCTAATGCCGCCGCTGATCTGATAGTAGACGGAGCTCAGGCAGTAATGCAAGCGATGGGAAGTAGCAGTAAATACAGAAGCTTCGCTCATTTGCTCACTGCTCACCTCCTGCTGCACAGCCCACTTCCTATCAGCAGGTGGACCAATACTGGTCCACGGCTCAGGGTTTGGGGATCCCTGCTCTAGGGAACTCTGGGGAAGTCCAAGTTGTGGAACCCGCCAGCGTTATCCCAACTGAGGGACAAGGAAGCTAAAGTTTACCCACCAATTCCCCATCTGTTATTAGCTGAGACCTCCTTCTGGGAGCATTACTGTACCTTCTTTACATTCAGTTACCGCAGCTGTCACTGCCTTTAGCACTTAGAGCAACAAGCTGGCCCTCCCTGGTTTGTTAGTGTCTTTGATTCTAGTGGGTCTCTCCCTGTCCTCATGACTCAGTGGATTCACTGACAATAGGGGTTACGTTATTTACAAAGCTCGAGCATTGTTATTTTCATCTGAGCAGCTCAAAGCATTCCACAAACCCATCTCATTAGTTCTCAGCACACTTTCAAGAAGCCAAGAGGAAATATAGCCTTATCCACTGTGAAAAGGCAAGACATTCAGATGCAGGACAGGACGTGATTTATATGTCTTTCAGGGGCAAAAATGAGTGTGCAGTTCACGTGGGCAAGGTACATGCAGGTCAGAGAGTCACAGTCCTAGGAGAACTCTGAAATCGCCAGAAGGGATGTCATCAGAGAGCTCTATGATGGCGGGAAGTAACTGCTGAAGCTTCCATACCAAACAAGATTCTTCAGAAAATCAGACACCTTCATTTCTTCCAACCCAGAGAGTCAGCTCACACTTTAGACTGTGCTCTGCACAGCTGGGAACATCTTGTGTTAGAACATGTAAGGTGCTTCAAATATAATAATAAACTCAGCACTGGAAGAAAGTATTCGTTTAAAGCAGAAAAACTTTAATTGAAAACTTTCTTTCCCTCTTCCTTTTTTTTTTTTTTTTTGAGACAGAGTTTTGCTCTTGTTGCCCAAGCTGGAGTGCAATGGCATGATCTTAGCTCACTGCAACCTCTGCCTTCCGGGTTCAAACAATTCTCCTGCCTCAGCTTCCCGAGTAGGTGGGATCACAGGCATGCACCACCATGCCTGACTAATTTTGTATTTTTAGCAGAGACAGGGTTTCTCCATGCTGGTTAGCCTGGTCTCGAACTCCTGACCTCAGGTGATCTGCCTGCCTCAGCCTCCCAATCCCATGCTGGGATTACAGGCATGAGCCACCACGCCCAGCCTCAAAACTTTCTTATACTTGTTCCATGAGTGACTTTTTCTTGCTTTTTAACACAAAAATATTACTTTTTAGTGTGTTTATAAAAAATACCTGTGTATTAAAGAAATTACACTGCACAAAAATATGAAGAATGTAAAAGTTCAAATTCCCATCACTTTGGAATAACAATCGTTAATGATTTGTTGACCATCTCTATAATTCATTTTATGGATGTATACTCACATACACATATCCATATCATTTAACAAAAATGGAATCATATCATACATGCTACTTTCATCCTGTGTGCATTTCTTTTAATTGTCATATTTTTCTCTTAATTTCCTATCCCCACCCTTACTTCGGGTAACCAATGTTAATAACATGTTGTATAGCCTTCTCCAAGTCATATAATTATAGGGAAACCTACACACACACATACATACAGCTCATGTTACAGTTTCTCTAATTGTCTTAATAATGTCCTATATGGGCCGGGTGTGGTGGCTTACACCTGTAATCCTAACACTTTGGGAGGCTGAGGTGGGTGGATCACGAGGTCAGGAGTTCAAGACCAGCCTGGCCAAGATGCTGAAACCTTGGTTTTTCAGTCTCTACTAAAAAATACAAAAATTAGCTGGGCATGGTGGCAGTCTCCTGTAATCCCAGCTACTTGGGAGGCTGAGGCAGGGAATTGCTTGAACCCAGGAGATGGAGGTTGCAGTGAGCTGAGATCATGCCACTGCATTCCAGCCTGAGCGACAAAGCGGGACTCCACCTCAAAATAAATAAATAAATAATTTCTTAGCTCACTGCTCACCTCCTGCTGCACAGCCCACTTCCTATCATCAGGTAGACGGGTACTGGTCCATGGCCCAGGACCAGTTAATTCAGTTAATTTTTCCTAATTCAGGATTCAGTCCATCACAATTAGTTGTTAAATCTATTATATCTCCTTTCACACAGGACAGTCCTGCCTCCTTCCTTTGAGCTTCTTGATCTTGACATTTTGGAAGAGCGGAGGCCTTTATTTTGTAGAATATCTCTCAATTGGGTTTATCTGCTGTTTCTTCACAATCAAATTCAGGAGAGGGCATACACCAGGTTTCAGCCGTCCCACGCAAGCAGTAGTGGCCTCCCTGAGGCCAAGACACCACCTCAGGGCTACATTGCTAAAACTACAAGATACCTGCTCCAGCCTGGTCTGCTCTTCCTGGGCCCCAGCTCCTCACACAGTGATGAGAGCACTTTTGAAGAATCACATCTATGCTGTATCCAGCTGCTGGTGCTCCTGAAGTCTAGAGAGTGTGCCTCCAGCCCAGATCAAAATTGACCCAAAATACAGACACCTTTTAATTGAGAAGCAAAATAGGATGCACTCCATTTTAAAGAAGCAGAAATTATGAAGAGATACAAAGTCCCCAAAAGAATTTTGTTGATTAATTGTAAAATGTGCCACAGAACAGTAAACATGATGGTAAAAGGAGAAGCTTCCTTGAGCAATGAGAGACAATTTGACGACTCCTAAGATCAAGCCCAGCAGGGAAGACACCATCGCATGAGGCTCGGAGTTCTGCAAGTCTAGCTCCCAAGGCCAGAGCCCGGCACTGGTTCTCCTAACACCTACCTCTGGGCAGTCAGCAGTTATTTAGTCCTCAAAGGACGTGAGCAAAACAAAGAAATGCTTCTCTCTACTGAAAATGTTGCTTAATCAGAAAGAATCTAAAGTGAATTTCAAATGTTTCTTGCCTCCTCTGTGAAGAATGGATTTTGAGAAATGTCTATTGCAATTTCCAAACTAACACTAGTCAAAAAACCAATTCTTTTCACTTTTATTTATTTTCCAAATACATGGAAACCAGATCCAAGGACAAACTTTTCCAGGCATCTTTTGTGTGTGTGTGTGTGTAAGAGATATGGTCTTTCTCTGTTGCCCATGCTGGAATGCAGTGGCATTATCATAACTCACTGTAACATCGAACTCCAGGGCTTGAGCCTCCCACCTCAGCCTCCCAAGTAGCTGGGACTACAGGTGCATGCCACCACATCCAGCTAATTACTATTGTTTTTTGTAGAGATGGGGGTCTCACTATGTAGAAAGTAAAAACTTCCTCTTCAAAGTTTCCCTTCTTGTTAAAGAACAATAATAATAAATGTTAGAAATAATAGTTTGTTTTAGAGACTATCTTCAAAGCCTTCTTGCTTTTTGCTAATAACGCTTCGCTAAGCCCTATCCTATGTAGCTGTTAAACATGCTCACAGGCACACAGTATTTTCTATGTCCTTATACTTTAACCAAGATATTTGTGCTGGACATGCTCACAGGTATGTCCCAGCTCACAGCCTATGCCCCTTCCTTATTTAGAAATGTTATTACTTTTCTATGTCCTTGTTCTTTTCCTTTGTTCTCCATTGCCTTTACCTATTTAGAAAAGTTTTAAGTTGCTAGCCAATCAAGTCCAGTTTAAATTGTGAAGTCTGACTCCAACCAATGGAGATTGGACACAGCAGTAAGGACCCAATGCATAAGGAATATTTACTGTGAATATTCACCTGCCTTTCTGTCCTGACCCGCGGGACGAGCAACGCAGACCCTAGGGAGGGAGTGGGGATTAAGAGAGAGAGACAGGAGATGCGAAGAATGGAAACAAGTCAAAGATCTGATCAAGTCTCGTTTATTAGGTACAAAGCAGCTGCTTATAAGCAAGCAAAGGCAGGAAGCTCTGAGTTCTGATGTCAGAAAGTAATCATGGAGACGAGGCTGCAGGCTGGCCTCGTGACTAAGAATGTGAAACTTAGATAAGGGAAGCAGAAGCTTGAGCAACAAGATCACAAGACGGCTATCATGATGCTCAAGATGGCCACTGCTCCCTACACCTTTCCTTTGTTCATGGTACTTTCATAGCAAGATTGCTGATGAGTAGTACCCTTTCTGCAGAAAGTAAAATTGCCTTACTGAGAAAACTTTTTGTCTAATGTTAATTTTTCCACGCAGTACCTAAGAATAAACATTCTGCCTTTAACACACTATGTTGACCAGGTTGTTCTCAAACTCCTGGCCTCAAGTGATTCTTTCATCTTGGCATCCTTGATGGCATTTCTGTGGAATAAAAACCTTATTGGAATGAATAACTAAAACCAACTACCTCAAAGGTTGTTTGTGAGATTTAAAAACTATATATGAAAATGACTTATAGTTAATTCATAGGCAGGTATTAAATGTATTATGATTTTCCCTTTTCTCAGTTAGCAGTTTTCATTGTTTGATATTGTTTTCTTCCTAAAAGTAATTGAGATATTTATGAGAGTGTCTACTTTCTCACAAGGATTTCTTTAGGGGGTCAATACCCTGATTGCTACATTCAG